GCTTCCAGAGCTCCCGTCGCTGGTTTTCCTCACAAGGCAACGTTCTTTCCCCAATTCCAGCGAGCTCAGGTCGTAAGTTACCCCAGAACTAAAAAGTTTATCCGATTTCAGCTCGCCTCGTTCTAAAGGGTCATGAAGAGCTGCCTTCACCTTTAGGGAAAGAGTGGATGTGGCACTTGGTGCTGTGGTTTACTTGACAGGGTGGTCACCGGTCACGCTCTGGGATCATTCGAACTCGATGATCCCAGAGATATTCTCCAACCAAATTCATTCTCGTGATTCTGTGATAAACCAATGCAGTATAGAAGCATCGAGAGCACAGTTTTACATTTTACCACAAAGCAAAATTCAGTCCTAAAATCCAGGGCTTTTAAAAACCTCCAAGCACTTTACATAGAGATAATACCTGTTTTTGTACAGGGCAGTGACAGACACCCATCCTACCCCTGGCCAGTTGCTGTGACAGACCTTGAACACAGGAATGGGTGATGAAGTCCTGTGTTTCACACAACGCATAAATCCATAATTAGCAGATTATGGGTTTTTTTCCCCGGTGGTTATAAAGTTTCTCAGCTGCTTTAAATAGTTCCAGTGATATCCGTGGAACTGGGCTGCTTTTGAGCAGTGGAGGTTCAGCTCTGACAGAGATCCATGGAAGTACACGAACATAAAGGCTAAATGAGTTACATGGGAGGTGATGCTCTGCAGGAAATTTGTCACAGACCTGTGAGCTCTGGCGTGGTACTGCTGGACTCCTTCATTAACTTCTCCCTAATGCACACCTTGCTGTTCGTGCTAATTGCACAATCACAGATGCTCTGAGTACACAACAGCGATCTCTGTTTAAAAAACATTGCTTCTGAAAGGAACGCTTCTTAAGGGCCTACATTATTATTCAAATTGATGCCGAGGATGATGTAAAGAAGGAAGCTGTTCAACAGCACTTCACTGATCTTTCTACAGCAACTTGTATCAGTCTCATTATGCTGTTTACACACACACAGAGCGATGCCGTCCCATTGGTATTACACTGCTAATTGGAATTACTACTTTCAGAAAGAAAAAGTCAGTTTAAAGGCCAAAAGAGAAGCGTGGTTTTAATGTATACCACAGCATTTATTTCTTTACCGAGGTCCATTGGATTTATAACTACAAATCCATTCTAACCTGTCAAAGCATTAATCAATGTATTTAATCAATACAATACTCCTACATTGCTCTTTTGCTGTCAGGTTTCACAAATGAATACTGTCTTAACGTAATGAAAATAGACTGCATCTGGCATCAACCCACCTGAAATGACTTCTGGGAAGGTTCCAGCCAAGGATGGAGTGGCCACCTGCCTCATTCTTTCCAGCCATTCAGTGTTTCCCTATATAGGTGTGAAATTACAGGTTTGTGGCATATGCCAAACTGGGGACTTATTCTAGAGTTTGACTAAAATGCAACTATGTGACCTTTACTTTGCAATAAACACAAGCCATAAATTTTGCAGATATTTGTGGAGAGGATCCTGGAAAGTAGGAACAAACAGAAAATCTACTGGTAGCTATGATTCTGGGCCTTTGTAGGTCAAAGATTCTTCTTTTTCCTTCTGCTCTTTTTTTTCTGGTTCAGCAATAGGTAAGCCGAGAATGTCTGCAACAAATATCTCTGCTGTGATTTCTGCTGGAATGTCCTCTTCAGTCAAAGCTGCTGCACCTGGAGAGCAGTAGCAACAACACAAGACACACAGCAGCAATGTCAAAATTGCTTTCCAGCAAAGTTTATAAGCAGCAATAAGTGAATGAAATGTTTTTAAAGATATACAAGGGGATCATGACAAAGTGATGCTTTACTAGCTTGATACTTTATGTGTTTATATCAGGGATTAAATCTGTGTGTCTCACCTGGCAGCAGGTCCCTGCCTCAGAGGAGTCATGGGACAACTTGGTCGATTTGATGGGATTTAGGATCCTGAGGGATCCAGGGATTTCAAAATTCCCTTTGGGAGCAGCACCTTTGCTGCATGGGCCGCATTGCCAGTGACCCTAAACAGATTCTGTTCCAAACTGGTGGGGACTGGGACATGAATTGTACAAAAATGCAGCTCCAATTACAATGGGCAATTAAACTCAGCCTCTTGGCTCAAATCAATGCTGTAATTTGCTGTTCCAGGCTGGTGTGGACTGGGACATAAATTGCAGACAAATGTGGTCGTTACCAACAGCTCTGCTACAATGGGCACTGTGGCCTGGGTGAAACCAGCCCTGGGATTTCCCTGTGTGTTTCTAATTTCAGTTCCAGCCAGCAGATAAACAGCAATGTAATCTTGTCAGGCCCCAGTTATAGTTCATTGTCCATTTATTTTTAGATACGCCCATGCAATTGCTGTGTGGATGAAGGACAGTCTGTAGCTCTGTGACTATTTTTGCAATCCCATCTGAGCAGTTTTGACAGCTCTCAGCCTAACAGGGTAAATGGGTTTGAAATTTAAATTGTTCCGTTTGGGAATTGAAACAATCCTTCTTCTGTGCTATGTGGAATGCTAATGCTGTACCTGTGGGAGGGTGGGTGTCCAGCTCAGATCCTTCTTTCCTGGGTCTCTTGCCCAGCAGGGTGATCAGACACTCAGTCAGCTCATCCTCTGTCATCTGCTCCCCTGTACAAACAGAGCACCAGCAGCCTGTGGGTTATGGGGTCCAGAGCACAAAAACTCAAAAGCCACTCAAACTAAACAGGAGAGTTCAAAAGAGGATCTGTCTTCTCTGAGATATGGACATATACACTGCCAACTGGAACACATGGTCCCAATGCAGGAAAATGGATCCCATGGAAAATTGTTCTTCCCTACAGCATTTTTTTGGGAAAAATGTCAATCAAAGGAGAAATTCTGATACAGGCAGCTCTATGAGCAACACTGCAGTAGCAGGGGCTTGAGCTTCTATTCCCACTGGAGAATTCCTGGCACAGACCACAGTCCTTGTAGCCATTTTCATGCAGAGGAAGAGAAAGGTGGAGAAAAGTCTGGATTTAGTATCTTGAAATAACATGGACATAGCACTTGTTCCCAGCTAGCGGTTGGCTCACGCCCTGGAGCATGAGGTTATAGATCTGTTATGAAACTGCTCTGTCTGATGTACCTATTTATGGATGTTCACACCATCTGTATAAATAGCTAACCTTTCTCACACTGGTTGAATCCCTGGTTTCTGAGGATCTTTGTGGCAAGGAGCCTTGCCAAGTGATGTACTGAGTAAACCAGCATTTCTCTTTACCTGTTTTAATGCTCAGCTACACTTTTATACCAGAAGAAAGATAATAAAAGTTTGTTATTAGCACTCTGTGGCACTGGCCAGAAGCATATTAACACCCACATTTATGGTGTTCTCCCTGATTCAGCTCAGCTAAATCATCCCATCTTTGCAGTGTTTCACACAGGTACAGCCCAGGACCAATTTCATCCCTCCTTTCTGGTCTCCCTTTTATCAGTTTTATACTACTTTTCCAGAGCCTGGTGACTGGAAAAGAGAACAGCAATTCAGATAAGGGCACACTGGGAGAAGGATACATTTTGCCAAGATCCATACTTATCATTTAACAGCTGAGATACCTCAGGCCAGCAGAGATTTCCAGAGCAGTAAAAGAAGCACAGCTGGGACAGGACATGTGATTATTCAATTTAAAATCCTAAGGCAGGTGGCTCCTCACGCCTGCCCTGGTTACCAGGTTCTCATTCCAGAATAATTTCTTGCTGCAGGGAAAAAGTTCTGAAATTGCAGGCAGAACTAGCAAGCATAAAACTGATACTAGAAACAAAATAACTCACCTCTGCACTGGAGCAGTGACAGGAAGTCTCCTCTGTCAATAACTTTGTCTCCCTCCTTGTTATCATAACCAAGAACCTCAAATGCTCGTTGTATGGTTTTCATTGACAAGCCGAGTGCAGGTCGATGATTTATATAAAGTTTGATAAAATCATCTAAATTGATTTTTGTCACTTCTTCGCCAGTATCTGCATACTTGCTGAATTTTACTTCATTTATCATTTCTTCAATCTAAAGATCAAGACAAGGCAGGTTGTTACATGTTTTATTTTGAAGAGCATTGGGCCAGTTTCTGTTCCCGTGGATGCCAATATCCCCAAACCATTCATGTGTTGGTGTTGGGTGCCATGACCCCGTCCCAGGGGGAAGCTGCACTCAGCAGCTGAGGATGGGAATGGCCAACAGTCACACACCTGCTGACATGACAACAACAAGGAAATACAGGGGTTACACACACACAGTCATTTTGGATTTCCTCTCTCGTGACAGGCACGCGGTGACCCTGCAGCTGTCACCGCACCTTGGGCACAGCTGTGCTCCACTCTGGGACAGTGGGCAGGCAAACCACAAACCAGCCAACACTCCATCTCCCATCCTTGCTCTGGGAGCACACACACGAGGGTCCCAACAGAACCAGGATCAGAAATCTTATCCTGACTCATTAGAAATCTCATCTTCCCCTGCTCTTCCCCATGTCTGGGGCAGTTCAGGCACTGCAGAAGCCAAACCCGAAATGTGCTCAGTGGGGCTGACACCCTGCACTGCTGGGTCCCTCACACTCCTCTCAGACAGGCCAGCACTGGCTGTGCTGGATACCAGTGGTTTTCCTGAAGTCTGGTGCTGTGAGTCAGCCCAGTGGCAGCTGTGCAGATGTGTGTCCAAAAGGCAGCATCTGCTCCATGCCTTCATTGTCCCTGCAGCCCCTTCAGGGACACACGGGCAGCAGAGCCACCAGCAGAATTCCCCGTGCCAACACGTGCCAGGCCTGCTCTCCCCAGGAAGGGAAGCTGAGGCAAGACCTCCCCATGGAGGACTTTGCATTCAGCCTTGGGCCTTTGTCCTTGTGTCACAAGTTTTTCCACTGAATGAAGCCCAGGCAAGAGGGAAATCTCAGCCTTACATTTTTCCTGTAGCGAATGTCACGCCAAGCAAGAACAGGCATTTTCACTCGGCTCTGGCTGATCTGGGATTAGGTTTTATATCAACCCCACTGAACTACAAAAGAAAAACACCAATTCCCAAAAGCTTTGCTAGTCAGCCCAAGCTGCCTTTTCTCCCTCCTGCTTTTCTTTTATTAAAACACTCTAGAGAGAGGTGAACCTTCTCTCTGGATTTATTACTGATTGTAGGTTGCCTGGTTTCACAACAGCTCAGCACCTCTGTTTCCATGCCTGAAATGCTGTTTATATTTTAATTTGGGGAAGTGTGGGGCATTATCAGTTATTGTTCCAGAGATGTTTCCCAAGGGAACATGTTCTCTGTGTCCCTAAGAGGCAAAAATTTAATAACCCAAGGAAAAGATCTAACACAGTATGAAGAGATAACACCTCAACTTGATACCAGGGCAGGACAGACCAACACTTGCTGGCTGTGGGGGCTCCCAAGTGACTCAGTTTGGTGGTGGCTGTGGCAGCAGTCCTGCCTCCCATCTGGTGGCTCTCCTGGCAGAGCATCCCTGGGCAGATGGGGTGGCACAGACTCCCAGCAGTGCCTCAGCAGCCTGGGGGTTGCTGTGCCAGATGAACACATCTCCCCTGCAGGAGGGCTGAGGAGCTCAGTGATGCACCTCCTCCCCTGGGGGAGCCTCTCCTGTGGTGAGGCTGGAGCTGGTGCTCAGGGGCCGTTATTCAAATCCCCTTGCTTCAGGTTCAGTCATGCCAGGTTGCACGTTACAGATGAGGTTTGTGTACAGTACAAACTGCCTTGGAGAAACACCACACAAAGGGGAAGAAGCAGCACCCTTATTGAATCAGTTCTCTCTGCTGTAACTTTTTGACCCTGAGGTTGCCTTGTTGAACAGCTCTGAGCTGTCAAGCTCCAGGTTTGCTCAGCCTTCTTCTGCAGTTACCCAACTTGCTAGCAAGGAAACTTTTTTAGGGATTTTCTGCCAGACTCTGAGCACTACTATATTGATGCAGACCAGATAAAAATACATTGACAGCCAGCAAATATATCCCAAAGCCATCCAGCATGGCAATAATCAGAATCTGGCCCTTGGAACACTTAGGAATTGCAGTCAGTCTTACTCCTTCTTCTTTTAATAACAACAATAAAAACAGCTGACCAACCTCTTCCTCTGATGGATAAAATCCTATTGCCCTCATGACAGAAGGAATTTCCTCCAAGGGAATATGAGTTGACACCTGTCTGGTCTCCAGTGTTTTGATACCTTGGCTGCACAGCTGTACGTAGTAAAAATAGTCCTCCATGTCCTGCCAGGGATTCAAACAAACACAGCAAATTTCAGTTACCAACAGGCACGGAAGATAAGGCTCCTTTTAGGGTTTTCTAACAGCCATATCAATGAGATTGCTGTTAAAGGCTAGCTGGACAAAACATAAAGAAATGTCAGGCCTGTGTAAATTAAAGTCCAACCAGATGTGGCCAGACAGCGTTCACGGTGAGATAATTACCCTGAAGAATTTGCCTTCTCTGCCACCATCCAGGAGGTTGTAGAATGGGATCAGCTCCTCCCCACCCAGGAAAGCAGCAGCATCCAAGGCACTGGCAGAAGTGAAGGAAAGAAGGTACAGGAAGGGTTCATGTGAGGAGAGCTTTCATGGCTCCTTTCTAGGCGTTGTTCACAGACACTTTCAACAAATAAAATCCCTGGGCCTCAGAATTCAGGAAAGAAAAGCACTGCCTTGAACCTTGTGCTATTTTATCATCAGCTGCACTTCTACAGCATATTTCATACCCAGGTTTTACATACAATAGCACAGTGTGGGAATTAATTGTTACTGAATGGTTCTCTTGTTTAGTGGAATGAGTACAGGGCTGGGAGCCAGGAGCTTTTCCATGGACTCGAACTTGGTGTCTGGCATTTGGCTTTTCTGCTTCCTTATAGAGACATTGAGGGAGATGAATTAGCTAGATCAGCATTTTGAACATGCAGAGAAGGCTGGGGTTTGGTGTTTGCAATAAACCACACAACTCCCTGTTCCTTGATCCAACACATTTTTCCCCAATAACTCAGGGCAATCCATTACCCGACTTCCTCCGCCGTGGAGTCGCAGGTGCAGTTTGCATTAAGCTGAAGGCGCCTGAGTAGCCACCTCTTTGTTTCAATTTCATAGGCAGTTGGAGCCTAAAGAATCCCTTTGGCTTGTGCAGATGTAAAAAGAAACCAAGGCTGGAAGTGCAATCATGGCATAGCCTGGCAGCCAGGCTGCAGCGTTCACACACACCTCTGCAGTGCTGCTTCCACTGGGGGTTCTTGCAAGCTTCATGCTTTTTTCATAATTAAGTTATTTGGGTATTAAACACAGCGGAGCTTCACAAGATGCCAGAAGCAGCAATAAAATGATAATTAGTTCATCAAAAACTTCGCTCCAAAAACAAATTACAGAGAAATTCAATGTTGCCTGGACTCTGGCCAACCATTATAAAGAAGGATCATTTATATTCTATTGCCTTCCTTAAAATGTCGCTTATCCTGACCCCCGACTGTTTAAGCCACACAAAGTGGAAAAGAAAATAAATAAACCCATTGCTTTCCCATCCAAGTTTCCTTTGTTCTGCACATGAAGGTGAGCTGGCTTGGCACTCCTTGGGCCTTACTCAGAGCAAATGGTACCTACAAAATGTGTTCCTTGCAGGACCAGCGTGTGTCTTAACCACAAAGCCTTGGTCCTAGGAAGGTGAAGAGCAGTGGTGTTTCCCAGGTGCACACCTAATGGCAATCATAGGAACAAGGGCTAAAAGCCAGATCCCATGGAGTTATTGCCCAGAAACCAGGAGACGCAGGGCTCTGTGCTAGGAGGGTGTTGTACAGAATTTGAAAAAAAACCCAACAAAATAGCACAGATTGAGTGAGACCATGTCTATCCTAACATGTCCATCCACACTAGCCTAACTGCCATGGACTAAGCTCCCTTCCCTGTCCCTGAAGTGTGAAGTGGTTCCATGGTGACCTGGCAGTTTTCATGCCATTCACAGCTTCCTTGCTCCATTTCTATGTACAAATATATCTATTGGGCCCTTGCAGCCATGAGGGGACCCTGTGCCCCAAACCTGTATTGCATTGAGCAACTTTGGTCCTTGACATGCCAAGAAACCAAAACATCTATCCTGCCTTTGCTGTATTACCCTACTGTCCTGTGGGAGTACATCTGGCACCACTGCCCAAGGGGTCTGGCAGAGGGAAGCCTGCAGAGGACAGTGTAAGAAACCTGGCAGGATTCATCACTGATGCTCTGGGCCAGAGCCTGGAGATCCTTCTCTGTTAAAGCAGCCTCCACTCTTCAACCACCCCATTTATTGCAGGCCATTTATTCATGTAAGCAAAGCTTTACAGGATTATGGTGGCTTGTCCTAAATCCATTCTTCAAACACAGGGGGGATTTCCCAGCAAATTCCTATTGCATTTGGAGAGCAGACACTTTTGTATCAGCAGCTGCCCTGTGTGCTCCTCCTGCAGCCAGTGCTGCTCTGCCTAACCCTGACAATCTCCCATCACACTGACCAGGCCCTCACAAGCATCACAAAATCCTCTGCCCAGCTTCTTACCATTTGGGCACCATTCCCCAGACTGGAGCATTGTCCAGGCACTATGGCCCCCACCGTGAGGTTTGCTGGCTTAATCCCTCCTGCATCACAGAGAGGGGAGCAAAACCCCTAAAAATACATCCCTCCTGTTTCAGCTGCCGCCCCACATAGCTTGGGGCCCAATGTAGTAAACCCCTCAGGTTTAGCCAGGGCCCCTTGGAGAATAGAATGCTGACACAGTGGCAAAGAAGTTTCCTGTCTCCAGGGACATCCGCCTTGTACCTTATCCCTATAGCCATGGAAGGCAATATTGTGTTAAACCCTACCATTGGTCACTTATGGTCACTCTAACACCTTTGCCATTGGTCAGGATTGGATCCAGGCCAAGGGTATAAAAGTAGCACACTGTACCCCTACTAACTCGGAAGAAGAAGAGCTGAGACCCTTCATGGACCCTGCAATAAAGCCACACTCGTGGAACAGCCAGCGCCTTCTGCTTCTCCTCTCTCTACCGTCTGCTGGAGCCTTAGGCCAAGGGAAAAGCCACCTAGCAAGCAAAGCTGAAATCACAAGAGCTGCCTAATCACTAAGAGCTGAATATTCCCTGCTTGCTAGGGGCTAACCCGCGGCCTTGGTCTGAGAGCGAGCTGGCTTCTGGCACCCAGTCCCCTTGGGGACTGAGCTCTGGAGCTGGAACAGCTTGCATAGGATACGACCAAGCAAGGCTCATTTAGTGCAATGGGTTGGCCAAGCAGCTGTGGAAAGCAGTAACAAGGTTCCTTTCCCCTTCCATAACTCACTGTAGGTTGACCTTCCATTTCATGACCGTGCGCTCCCTGCCCCCGGCTGTGAAGACGTAGCGGCCGTCGTGGGAGACGGCAAAGTCAGCGGCACCGTCCGGGTGGCAAATGAAGGCCGAGGACTTGTGGGGGTTGCCATCGACAGGCAGCATCTGCAAACCCACCTGGAAGGCAAGAGGGAGTCTGGGAGGGCTGGGGGTCCCACTGGGGCAGTGCCACATCCCCTTCCTCAGGAGCTTGCTCAGCTCTCAGGCGGGAGCAGCCTGCACGTGGTGGTTTCATCTTCAAGCAAATTCCCAAGGCCCACCAGCTCTGCAAGGGAGGGCTCTTGCACAGCTGGGCAGGTGGGGCTCCATACCTTGTCCTTTGTAATGTACACCAGGTAGTGTTGCCGGGGGTCTGCAGAGCTTGTCCTAGGGAGGATTTGTATCTTCTCCAAGGGGGAGCCATAGGTTGGTCCCAAAAGGGTCTTTCTAAAGGCAAACAAGGTATTTATCCACTCTAGGCCACCCAAAACATTTTTCCCCTCTGAACAGCTGTTGTGTGGAAGGCTGGGTAGATACGGGAGGTGTGCAGAGGCTTTGTGCTACTGGCTGAGAGAACAGGATAGGACAGGGTCCCTGGCCAGAAGGGACCACACTGGGGCTCAGAAATTTATTTAATTCTCAGGGATTACTGGTCTTTGCTCATGTGGACTCCAATCTCTTTATCTGATGTCTAACTGCTACATCTCAGGTTTAACATAGTGAGCAGACCAAGATTCACCTGCAGCCATAACCATGCTAAATGACACATTGGTGATCAGCAGAGTGGGCATAAGAATGGAGTGACCTGAGGGCTCTAGAGCCATCCCAAGATCTGCATCACAGATGGAAAATCACATGCTCATGGGTGGGAGTATGGTGGTCATTAGACCAAGGAGAACACAGGGTCAGGAGAAGGCTCCCAGGCAATGGCAGCCCTGAATCAATCCTCTACCTGCACACTTTGGTTATTGAGTTGTAGAGCTTCATTTTGTAGCAGTTGTTGGCAGTGAGGAAAAAGGACTCGGTGCTGAGCTGTGGGTACCAGGTGAAGCACAGGGGCACTGCAGCCTGCTCCAGCCTGTCCCTGTGTGTGACCACCAAGTGGTCCTTGATGCTGCTGTTCAGGTCATATTCAACCTGGAGGGAAGACAAGGAAACACAGCAACTCCCCTGTGGTCTCCCTGCGCCCTTGACTTTGTGCATTTGCATCTCCTGGAGAAGCCACAATGGGAGAGCCTCAGCAGCAAGACCAGGCCGAGAAACAACCCCCAGCAACAGAGCTGGTGGGGAGAAGGTTGGGAGCTATGGAACCAAACATGGAGTGTCCTTTGATGGCCTTGTCCAGCCCCACCCCTTAACCAGAAATGTTCACTGTCCTTTAAAGTTTTGCATCAACCCACCAGCTGCCGGTCCTCCCCGAGGCTCAGGAGCCTGGGCTCGTGGCTGTCTGGGTGGACCCCGAAGAGGATGCCCCGGATGGGTTTGTAGTGGGACACCAGCCCTGCCAGGTGCTCCCAGCATCTGCTCTTGTTCTGCAGGACTCTTTTGTAAACAGTCACTGAATAAGTCTCATCCTGCAACAACAGCACAAAGGTCAAAGAGGGAAATCCTTTTCTTTGTGCAGATCATCATCAGTTGCTACAAACTCTGAGCCAAACTGCTTCAATGCTGCCTCAGTACTTGTACAGCAAGACCTGGGACTGAGGGAGCAGAGCACCAGCCAGGAGGAAATCCCTGCTCCAGCCCCTTCTTCAGATGGATGCAGAGCTAAGCCTTGTCACTAAATTCAGGGACTGGGCGTTCTGCGGAGCCGCTGTGACTGGTGAGGTTTTTACAGAATGACTCTTCAAACCAGGAAAAGCATTTTGGAGTCAGGAAGCCCCAGGGGAGGAACAGCCCTCTGCCCTGCTCGCTCTGCATTTTAGAGTCACCGGCCCCAGGGGAGGAGCAGCCTCTGCCCTGCTGCTCTGTGCCTGCAGGACGGCCGGCAGTTCCCAGTCCCTCCCGAAGCTGCCCCGCCAGCAGCGCGGGTAAATCACCGAGCGGAAAAAACAAGCGTACAGCGGTTGCGAGGTACTGGGAATCGTGTGAGAAGCCGATGTGAGTCACGGGACCTTGCGAGCACTGGAATCCCTCGCAGATGGACTGAAGGGAAATTGCATCAAGGATGTAAACGCTTCCATCAGTAAAACCAGCGGCCAGCAAATGACCTAGAAAGCAGAAGCAGACCAGAAACCTCTCACACACCATCACTCCTCCCAGGAAGGCCAATGCTTGGCACTTGGTCAGCTCACAGGGCTGGGATACCTTCAGCATCATAGGATAAGCACTGGATTCCAGCCTCAGTGAATATCCTGCTGACGAGGTACTGGGTCTGCTTGTAGTCCCACACCTTGAGCAGCCCACAGTGACTCCCCACAGCCACCAGTGGCTCCTGAGGGTGGCAGGCAATGGCATTCACAGCTTTCTTCGCCTCTGTCATGATTCTTCCAAAGTTTGTGCTGTCTGTTGCAACATGGAACATGGTTGCATCAGAGGTTGAAAGGATAAAGTTCCTGTTTAGCGTGAGAGAAACAGAATTCGATGAATCAGAGTAACTGGCTCATGTCCCTGCAAGCTATATTACACATCAGTCTCTTTTTGGCAAGTTAGTTGGACAATCACTTATATTTTGTGATACACAGTATGCAAACGCTCCTTGACCTGGAAGGCAAGTGACACTTTGTATTCATGACCTGGGAAATGGCCAGGGGAAAACACTGGAGCCAGTTCCATTTTCTACTTGGCTGGGCAAGCCAGAAGATGAATGACATCTGGGGAGCTCCTGCCTTTGCAAGTCACTGGTGTGTGAGATGGACAAGTGAGCAATTGGAGATACTCTGAATGGCCTTTCCACGTGTCCCCATGCCACCACTGTCAGTGGCTGCACGTTGACCATGCTGCCATGGCCAAGGCCACAGGGCAGTTTCAGTCCCTGTCTGCTCACTTGGCCACGCTGAGCAGCACAGCAGAGAGGTTTCACTGTGTGACTGGTGATGTGTGAAGCAGACAGCAGGATAATTATTCATTTTACAGCACAAACATGTACAGTTTCAGTCTGCCTGATTGAGAGTCTGGAGCCAGTAAAAGGGACAAGAGAGGATCCCACAGAAATCCCAGAGTGGTTTGAGTAGGAAGGGACCTTAAAGATCATCTTGTTTCAACACCTTCCACTAGACCAGGTTACTCCAAGCCCCATCCAGTCTGGCCTTGAACAATTCCAGGCATGAGGCATCCACTGCTTTTCTGTGCCAGAACAACCCATGCCAGCACATCACCACCCTCACAGTGAGGAATTTCTTCCTATATCCATCTAATCTTGCCCCCTGTCGATTTTTGCCATTTTCCCCTTGTCCTGTCACTCCCTACCCTTGTTCAAAGTCTCTCTCTGGGTGTTTTGGAGCCCTTGAGGCACTGGAAGGTGCTATAAGTTCTCCTTGGAGCCTTCTCCAGGCTGTCTGGGAGCTGCCCAGACAGACACATGGAGAAGCACAGCCTCTTTGCCAGCTGTTCCATCACTGCCACCAGTTTGTGCACATCTGGCCCAGGCACTGAGGGACTCTGCACCCCTTGCGTGCCTGAGCTGGGCTCTCCAGCCATTGCTAATCCCAGCAGCCTCTGGGATGAGCTCAGGCCTTCCCTTTCCCTTTGGGAAACCAAACCATCCCCAGGACTGCTCCAGGCTGGAGAAGAATCTGTTCCACATGGTTCTTTGGAAAACACGCGGGGCTAAGAACAGACATTGCCAGGAAAGCCTTAACAGCAGTGACAGACATGTGGTTTGCAGGCTGGATGGAGCCACACAGCAGCTTCATCTGGCTGCAGGCTCCCTGTAAAACCTCAGGCACAGCTGTGTCACACAGAGGGACAGAGAGGTGACCAGTCAGTGTGGTACAGCCCTGTGCCGGTGCCACGGCCCCGATCAGCTTGCCAAGCCATCAGAAAATCCAACTGGATCCAGCCATGCCTGGGAAGGGTTTAAGGGGGGATTAAGGGGCCCAGTGAGAGCTGGAGGCTCAGCATTAGCACTGCCTGGTGTGCTGGGTACATGACAGAGAAGCTGATCATCAC